TGGAACAGGGTCAGTAGGTGGTCTTATATGGCATAGTGGTGGGTCATGGGTAACCCAGGAAATTCTTTGTTTTTTTTTTTTTTTTTTGTCTCTGCAGTTTCATTTCTGGAAGTTTCTTTTATAAATGGGACTGGAAAAATGTAGCCTATTGTGTTCTTTCACTCAGCAGACTCTTTTTCTGAGGACCATTAGTAGCATATAACTACTAGGGTATGACTATGCCATAGTTTGTTTGTTCACTTACTAGTTGATGAGCATTCGGATTATTTCTATATTTGCTTCCTAGAAATAAAACCATGAACATTCTTTTTTTTTTTTTCTTTTTGGGTCACATCTGGCGATACACAGGGGTTACTCCTGGCTCTGCACTCAAGAATTGCTCCTGGCAATGCTCAGGGGACCATATGGGATGCTGGGAATCGAACCCAGTTCGGCTGTGTGCAAGGCAAACGCCCTCCTGCTGTGCTGTTGCTCCAGCCCCCCAAACCATGAACATTTTGTACAAGTGTTTATGTGAACCAGTTTTCACTTCTCTTTTTAGATGCTTGGAAATGGAATTACTGGGTCGTAGTATAAGTCTACATTTTAATTATTCCAGATGCTTGCTGAACTGTGTTTTTAAAGTGATGGTGTACCGTTTTATAGTCCAGCTGGAATGCGTTGCGTGTTCCAGTTTCTCCACATTCTGGCTTGTGTCTGTCATTCTCCATCTTTTTAATTTCAGCTATCCTGAGTAAGGTCGTACAACTTTATTGTGGTCGATAATTTTTTTCCTCTACTGACTCAATGATGTTGAGCAACTTTTCATATGGTTATTAGTCATTTGGGTATGTATTTTGAGTATGTCTTTTGAAATATCTGTTCATGTAGTTGACCCCAGTTTAAATTTGATCATTTTTTAAAAGTGAGTTGTAAGAGATTGTCTCTATTCTGACTACCTCATTTTTTTTTAAAGTATATGACCTGCAGAGATTTTCTCCCCTTGTTGGACTTAACTTTTTTTTTTTTTTTTTGCTTTTTGGGTCACACCCAGCGATGCACAGGGGTTACTCCTGGCTCTGCACTCAGAAATCACCCCTGGCAGTGCTCAGGGGATCATATGGGATGCTGGGAATTGAACCCGGGTCGGCCGCGTGCAAGGCAGACGCCCTGCCCGCTGTGCTATTGCTCCAGCCCCTGGACTTAAGTTTTAAAAGTGTTTATTGAAGAGGAAAAGAAGTTCTTTTTATCATTTTCACCTTCTGTGGATGAAACCATTGATGCATTGTTGAATTGATCTCTGCTATTACTTCCTGGGCTCTTCTTCACCAACAGACCACGTCTGCCTGAAGTTTTTTTTTTTTACTGTAGATGAAATGTTGGCCCCATTAGTTTATATATTGCCTCTGACTGGTTTTTCATTGCAGGACAACTGAGGAGTCGCTCCCTGAGACTGTATAGTCCGGAAAACCTAGAATATTGACCTCTTGGCTCCCAACAAAACGTAGTATTGATCTCTGTTTTAGAAATGTTACAACTTAGAGCCTGGAGTGACAGCACAGCGGGAAGGGCGTTTGCCTTGCACACGGCCGATCTGGGTTCGATTCCCAGCATCCCATATGGTCCCCTGAGCATCGCCAGGGGTAATTCCTGAGTGCAGAGCCAGGAGTAACCCCTGTGCATCGCCGGGTGTGACCCAAAAAGCAAAAAAAAAAAAAAAAAGAAAAGAAATGTTACTACTTAAACTCTTAGAGTTATGTCAGTGGTTGTGTTTGAGTCGATTTTTGTGTAAAATGAGGTACATTTTTGGGTATGCAGTTATTCTAATATCATCTGTTAAAAAGATTATCCTGTAAGTCATGTTAACTTTCTTTTCTTTGCTTTCAAGATTCTTGTTTCCTTTCCTTTCATCATATTCATTATAGAATATCTTGGTAGGGTCTTTTTGTGACTATTCTTCTTGGGGTTGTTGAGTTTCTTGGAACTAAAGACTAATACTTTTCAGGAAATATGAAAAGCTTTTGGCTCTTATTTTCTGCTCTCATCTCCTTTTTGAGTCTCCCACTAAATGCATTCTGGCCTTCATTGCCAACAGTTGTTCTGTTGGTTTTTGACCTTCAGTTCTTCAGATTGGAGAAGAATGTTATTTGATCTTTTATTCTCTTGATTTTTAAAAAATGTGATAGAAAATCTGCTTTGTAAGGCCACCCGGTGACTTTTTTTGGTTTTAATTATATAGTTCTCAATTCTAAAATATTTTCTTTTTTTTTTCTTTTTTCGTTTTCAATTTGATTCCTTTCAGTAGTTTTTATTGTTTTGTCGGTGTTTGTTATTTGTTTAGTAATCGTGTTTTCTTTGAACATACTTGCGGTAACAGTTTTGAAGTCTTTGCTACACCCAGTATCCGGTCCTATGTGAATACAATTTTTTTTCTTTAAACTGTTGTTCTGAGAATAGACCAGTTCCCTGTTTTTTCTGGCTTACAATTTTTTCTTGAAAGTGGGTTTCTAATAGTGTGTTATCCAACTCTGTTCTGACTGTAATTGTTCTTTAATTAGTAGTGGTGAATTATTACTTTTCTCAAATGAACTTCCACGGTCTCTCTCTGCAGAATCTTGTCTCTCTCATGGGTTGCTCCTGAGTACCTCCTCATTGCTCTTGTCTACCTTGATTTTTTTTCCCCTTCACCTCTGCCCCAGTGTGTGTGGCCGAATGCTCCATCCATGCTCGGCTGAGCACATGTTTGAGAGCACCTTTGAGGCTGGGACTGTCTGCCGGGGGAGTGTGTGATGTTTCAGGCTGTGCTTCCGGTCACGTCTTTGTTCAGCCCTGAGTGTGGCAGAGTTCTGGTTCAAGTGTGCGCCCGGCCTTGACTTTTCCTGCCTGTTCTCTCCCTCCTAATTAGCTGGGATTTTTGTGGTGCCTTTGGGGCTGCATGGGTCTCCGTTGCAGGTGTGTGCTGCCTCCTGGCCAGGGTTTTGTGGAAGGCATCCATTCTCTCCCGGGAGCCTGAGTCGATCCAGTTCCTCTTGGTGCTTTCTTTCTGCGGTCTCCTTGGACCACACTCCTAGGTAGTCTTCACACCGTTGCCGGCCTCCGGCTGCTGTCCTGCTCTGTTCCTCCCACACTCCAACAGCTGTGTGTCCGCTTTTCCATTTGCTGTGGGGTGTGAGTATTTCCCAGGAAAATGACATCGTTGCAAAGCCAAAGCCAAATGCTCTTTTTCTCCAGTTCACTCATGGTAACTTTTAAAAAAGACAAACGACAAGATGGCTAGATGAATCAACCGAGAGTTTAGATTTTCTAAATAGTCCGGGACGTTTGCCTTTACAGGGGTAGGTTAGAACGCTTCAGCCAAGGCTCTTTTACATGAATAGTTTGGTGATTCCCGTGTTTTTCCTTTGACTCGTGTGAAACCTTTGCCAGCACGGTACTTTTGCTTTGTAGACTTTCTTGATGAAAGTCTATGAAACAGGTACTGGAATCATGATCATTTGGTAGGTAAGGAAATACAATTCTAAGTCAGTAGCGTCTCCATGCTCTCAACGTTTTATGTGATGCACTTTTGACTTCTTGGTTTTCAGACTGTGTTAATTGCTCCTCCACCATTTCATAATTAGTTGCAGATTCTGTGATGCTCTTGGTATGTTTCCTCATGTAGCTCGTTAGTACCTGAGGTTAGGAGAGTTCCTAACAGTTTTCTTGAATTTGCACTGAAACTCATATATCTTTTTTTTCACATAGTCACTCGAATGGAAGCGCCCCTAGTTCATTCATGCAGTTTGAGCACAGTGATTAAGATTTGGAGAAAGACACCCCTTGGCAGCTTTCTCTGCCAGCTTCCTCTTTTTTTCTTATCCATAGATGCAGATTCTGCCCAAGAAGCCCCTGCATTGCAGAGGGACTGGAGATCTGTATGATCTGTTTATTTCGCAATTGACAAAAGGGTAAGGGGGGCCTTTAGGGGGGAGGCGCTTGGGTGCCCTGAATTTAGCATTTTGAAGCTGGGCTAACGTTTATTTGGGGATTACTTAAACCTAGTACTTAAAAAAGTCCTGTTGTGAATTTTGTTTGTCCTGCATTGCTTAAGTGTCAGGTTATCATATGAAAAAAAAGCATTTATTACGGTTGTGATTTTAAAAAAGATACGGATTAGAAGAAGCCAGGCTTTTCACACTTGTAAAATGACAAATCTGGGTTTGTTTAGAATATTAGGAATGTTCAATATATGTATATAAAATTTTACTACCATAAAAATTTTAAAAGATTTTGAAGCATCTTTCTCTATAGCCCATCATAGTTACTTTTTATTAATCTGCTCTGTTCCTTTTCCATAAATCTGTTGTCCTGTAGAGTGAAAAGGGGACTTGTGGATATGCCGTAAACATTCTGGGTTGGGTGTGGTGTCTTATTCTTGTGAGTAGTAGAAATTAATATCCACTTTCTTGAATTCAGTGTATACCAGACACAGTGAAGTTTGAATTGTACCTTCATTGTCCTGAATTTGTTTTTTAAGTGTAAGTGTAGTTGGTGAATCTTAAGGGAACCAAGATGAAGTTTTTAGGTTTTATTTGGCAGGTTTTTAGACTAAGTGTCAGAAATGGTGAAGATGAAGAGGATTAGAATGTGTGAGGAAGAGTTTAATGCTCTTTCGAAGTTGCAGAAAGATTGGGCAGACGATTGTAGCTTTGATGGGTAGTCGAGAGTCTTGATTTGGTGATGGTCCAATGGACTTTTTGTTTTGATAAATTATAACTGGTAGTAAAATAGTTTTACTTATGTAAAGAAGCCTTGTATATTTTGTCATTTTAAAAGATGATTTTAGCATTCTGTACCTGTTGCATTTTTTAACGGTCCTCTTTAATTCATTAAATTTATGAAGTTAATAATGTGTATTATACTTAACACTATTATTAAATTCCACTTTCGGAAGTGCCAACATGCAGCACATTGGAAAGCTATTTTTGTTCTTAAACTTCTTAAATGACTTTTTTCCTTTTTTTTTTTCTGTTTTCTTTAAGCCATAAGGATGAGTTTACCATTATTCCTGTACTGGTTGGAGCTCTGAGTGAGTCAAAAGAACAGGAATTCGGAAAACTCTTCAGTAAATATCTAGCGGATCCTAGTAATCTCTTTGTGGTTTCTTCCGATTTCTGCCATTGGGGTAAGTTCTAGATTTTAACGTATAGTAGACATTATTATATTCTATGGTTAAAGATATCTTTTCATTCCAGGCTCTGGTTTTTTAGTTCTTTATCATTTTTCTTGGAAAGTTTTACTTTAAGCATCAGTGTTTAAAAGTAAATAATTTTTTTTTTTGGTACGCTTTAAAAGAATCAGTTCAGTAGTGGATTTTATGGATACATTTTTTCCAAAGGCGACTGGTATTATTGGATTCACACTGTGAGGGCATTCTTTCTTAGCTATCTTAGTGGGGATAAAATCTTTAATCCCATTTCCTGGTAGAGAGGAGTGGTAGGTTCTCTGAAGTTAGTTTTTTTGTGAATAAAACAAATACTCTTTAGAATGTAGCTAAGCACTGCGGTGTTGAGACCTTTCCCACACTTCCTGTGTTGTAATTAGTCTTGTTTTCTTTCTTTTTTTCCCTCCTGGAGTGCTTAAGTTTTTATCATCAGTTGCTCTCAGCTGAGAGCTCCCCTCCAAATGTTGACTCTTAGCACTGTGATGATGGTTTAGCTTCATGATAACGGTTTGAGGACTCTGAAGTGAACTTTGTCATCGGGAGATTCACGGTGAATCTGTCAGAAAGGAGCGTGAGAGAGCCTTTTGGGTCCCTCTGATAGTAAACTTTGTTTTTTTAAAGAATCTTTTGGATACAGTTTGCTCTCCTTTATCCATTTTGAATTCTGTTCCTTTTATGATGTCTCTTTTACTCATTTATTTATTGGCGTAAGGATGCCAATCTCATTCTTTACTTATTTCTTTGATCATAGTGGAAAGTAGGGCACAGGAATATACATACATTTGAAGGTGAAGTTCAAGAAATGCCAGAAAAAAAAAACAAACATCCTCCCTGAGATTTCTGGGGCCCCGACCTTTACGTGTCTTTGCATCGATCGCCCCAGCAGATTTAACGTGTGTCTGGCCCTGTGAGGCCGCTGTCTTCTTCTCTTGAGATTTCCATTCATGAGACCAACCCTCCCTTATGGTAGAAATCAGTGCGTTTGTTTCAGGCGCTGTTTCCACAGCTGGAGCGACCTTCCTCCCTGGGGCTTTGGCGATGCCTGCAGACGTTTTCAGTGATCACAGACAGGGTGCGGGTGACAGGAGGGAATGCGTCCCCTTTGGGGAAGCTGCTCAGCAAACATTTTGCAGTGTCCCCACAGCAAACATTTTGCAGTGTCCCCACACCAAAGAATCCCTCCTCACTGAAACCCCAGTAGCACCAAGACGAGAAAGCCCAGGTTCGAGGTATGCCTGTCGCTTTGCTGCCATAGCCCGCTCTATCGGGTTCTTGAATATCGGATTATATTGGCTGGCTGGTGTTGCTATTTCAAAGGTTCTGATGGTGTTGTTGGGCCACACCTGGTTGTGTTCAAGTAATCAGGGCTTACTCCTGGTTCGGTCACTCCTAGTGGAACTTGGGGGACATCAGGTGAGAATGGGATTGAACCGGGGTCTGGTGCATTGCAGAGCAAGTGCCCTACCAACACTGGATTATCTCTCCGGCCCCACAAGCTACTTTTTCTGCAGATCGGCATATTATGTAGATCTGGGGGCTAGATAGATGCTTAAAAGCTCTTAGAAATTCTGAGGTTTGAGACTGTTCTTAAAAACGAAGGCGTCTTATTACTGAAAAGCAGGTGCTATTTTCTTTGATATTGTAAGTTTGCGTTAGCAATAAAGGAAGTTCAGTTATTTCAGAGTTAAAAAAAGTGTCGTAGTTGGGGCTGGAGAGAGTCCAGTGGGCAGGGTTCACGCAGCCAACCTGGGTTCGATCCCCAGCATCCCATACGGTTCCCCCGAGCCTTCCAGGAGTGATTCCCGAGTGCAGAGCCAAGAGGAACCCCTGAGCATCACTGAATGTGTCCCCAGAACAAAATTCTTGAAGCATATACCTTCTCTCTGTTATTTTCAAGACGCTTATTGAATAACATTTTATTACATTAGGATCTAAACCGTGTCCCTAGATGATTCTGAGTATCAGCTCTCCGTCTGGACTGCCACCACCTGCAAACACAACAGATTCACTCTAGATGCCAATAAGTTTCATTATACTGATCTTTTCTATGGAACCATCCTTTCTTATTTTTTTTTTTTTTTAGTGGATTATACAGCAAGTAAAACACAGCCTACTACTCTGTTTAAGTATATGTTGGGAGAAAATGAATTTTGTTCTATATTCTGCCTAATCTCAGTTTATTTAGTTCTTTTGAGCTCCCTGTTTCTTGAAAATTTTGGCAATTAAATTGTAGGATAGGATTTCTTGTGAATAATAAACTCAGAATTTCCAAAGTTACTAAATGTTAGCTATGGAAATTATCCAGAGACTTCCTTTAGAATTCTGGCTGGTGGTCTTGTAACAAAACTTGGCTGATACTCATTTTAAAAATGATCATTTTCATTAACAATACTCGTTGCCTATTTCATACTTAGGAGAGCACCTTTATTTTGGTTTAAAAATGTTATTTTCAGTTAGAGCCACACCTGGTAGTACTGAGTGACACTCCTTGCTCTGTGCATAGGCTCTCTCTCAGTGACCCAGGGACTGGATGGTGTCGGGGATTGTACCAGGGCTGGCCACGTACAAGGCAAGTCCCTCAGTTCCCCGTACTTAATGGCTCAGCACTTTGCTTTTCTCACTGAGAAATTTGGCGGAGGGTTCAGGGACAAGAAAAAGATAAATTGCATGTATGTTATTCCTAAATTGGAGGTTCTTATAAAATTCATGTTCTCTTTTATATGCTTACTGAAGTAACATGAATCATTGGCTGGTTATGGGTTTAATTTTCTTAGAAATTAAGTTTCATTTTTCACAAATCCATATTCTTGTGTCACCGGACATCTTTCCTGCTTAACAATCTTGGGAGCTTTGGGGAGAGATTTTGTAATCCGAAGGATTTTGCCTCATTCATTTTTTGTTAGCCATTGTTCATTAGAAGAAGGACTTTAAAAAATGAAGCATCATCTGTTTTAAAGATGTCCATCTTTTGCATTGCATTTAATTTTTATTTAGACTTGAAGGAGAGAGTTGACAGTTAAAAAATAGTAGAAAGTCGAAAAACACTCTCAAGCATAATTTTTTGAATAAGATAAACCAGTGGAGAGTTGACAGTCTTCTGTCTCCTCATTTAAATCCTTCTCCTGTTTAAATTTCACTTTCTGTATTTTATTTTGTTATTAGTCTTATCCATTTGAAAAGGCACTAGTTAGCCCTGGAAGCTGAGGTTTCCTAGGTAACACAGTGATTCCATCTCATTGCCCCTTGCCACAAGAGCTAAGTAAGAGGGCATTTGCTACGCTAATATTTGATTTTTATCATGGTTAAATTTATTTACCTGGTTTAGTATTTTGTAGTCTGGACCTATTTAGGTATTCTAGTAAGTAGACATGTCTTCCTGAGTTTTATATTTTTCTTCAGATTAATAGTGACCATTAATGTTGTTTTCTTGACTGTCCTGGTTTATATTTCCAGGTTTATCAAGAGCTTTCATTCATAGAAAATTATTATCTCATTCCTACTTTGGACAAACTTGCAGGCTATCGAATGTAGCCTGCCCACAGGGCAGAGTCTGGCAAACTCCCCGTGGCGTACCAAGTATGCCAAATACCAGTAACAATGATGGGTCTCATTCTCCTAAAGAGCCGTGAATATAATCTCAGGGCTAGGATGAAAGAGACGTTACTGGGGCCTGCTCAAGGCAATCGACGATTAACAGGATGATGAAATGAAAAAAAAAATGAAATTCATTCATAGAAATTGCAATTTCTAAGAATTTTCTAAACGAAACTGAATTTTTAGAAATTGAGGGGCTGGAGCAATAGCACAGCGGGTAGGGCGTTTGCCTTGCATGCAGCCGACCCGGGTTCGATTCCCAGCATTCCACATGGTCACCCGAGCACCGCTAGGAGTAATTCCTGAGTGCAGAGCCAGGAGTAACCCCTGAGCATCGCCGGGTGTGACCCAAAAAGCAAAAAAAAAGAAATTGATTCTTTTTTTAAATTCTTTATAAGCAGATTAGTGCTTCTATTTAATTTTCCTGTTTATGAGAATATAAGTACAAATCTATTAGTAATTTTATTTGATAAATGTTATTAAGTTACAAGTTCACTACACTTTTGGAATTTAACTTGTGAACTTAACATTTGTATAGGTTCATTTTTTTTTCACAAATATGTGCCAATGATTAAAACTGGCATTCTTAATTTTTATAAAATTTATTTATATCTCAGTATTCAGATCTTTTAGTATTTTTCAATGTATTCTTTCACTTTCTGTTCTTGGTGTCTTGGATATGAAATACTTTTTAAATAGTTAAGTTATTTAGAGTGTAAGTTGCACGGTAGCACGGTCCTCCCATTGTTCATCGATTTGCTCGAGTGGGCCCAGTAATGTCTCCATCGTGAGACTGGTTGTTACTGTGTTTGGCATATCGAATACGTCACGGGGAGCTTGCCAGGCTCTGCCGTGCGGGCGAGATACTCTGGGGAGCTTGCCAGGTTCTCCGAGAGGGGCGGAGGAATCGAACACGGGTCGGCCGGGCCGGCTGCGTGCAAGGCAAATGCCCTACCGCTGTGCTAAAATATATCTTATCCAAGCCTTCATCTTTATTTTCTCAAACTTTTGTACATATTGATTTCATGTCAATTAGTTTTTTTAATCTTTTGCAAGTTTGAGAGAAAGCAAATACTTTCACAGTATAACTGAGATTTCTAATGGACTGTTGCATTTTGTGTATAAAAATGTTTCCCTTATTTGATGTGACGTAGATAATATTTCCTCTAGGAATATGCTTTTTCTTGGTGGTGATTTCAGTTATGAATACCCTTAGTTTAGGTCCTCAGTGTAATGAATCTCACAGTTTCTCGTGAGGCTGAAGTCAAGTCTCTGAAAACATTGGAACACGAACATAAACTCTTAGAGTGACTAACAATATAGTTTTCACTGGACTTATGCCAGAATATCTGTCCTACTGACTCATCTCCGGGAACTTCATAGATCAGCTTTCCAAACCCATTGTTTATTCCTTCAGCTTAGTGGACAGCGAATCGGTTGAGGTATTGACATATTTTTTGTTTCGAGGTCCTTCAACAAGTAGCATTGGTTCTTGTACCATCCATCGTTACCGTCTGTCCTCATGAGTTGGTTGTTGTGTGTTAAACAGACATCCCCGGAGCTTGCTTATTCTCCACACGCTGTGAATCCACTCATTAATCACCAGTCACCTTTGGAGATGGGAAAATTACTTACCTGTATTTCTTTTTCTCAGAAAGCGTGCTCTGGAATGGATTCACAAATGAGCTACCCTCCTTCCCTCAAAGAGTAAGGTTTCTGCTTTACAGGATTTTTTCCTTGGGTTATTTTTCCTCTCATCTTTTGAATTTGAAAGAACTGAGGGAAGGCACCTGAAGAAACTACTGACACGCTCAGTAGGGGAGTTCCAAAGCTGGTGCTGCCCCTAGGGGCAGTGTCAGTGGCTCTTAAAGCTAGGAAGCTCATACTTGGAGTTGAAACAGGGGCTCAAAGAATCCATTTTCCCAGTGTACCTTCTGAAAGGATAAGTTTCAGGTAAGTAATTTTCTCTTACTATGTGCTATGCTCTATTCATACTTTTAAAAAGTCCACAAGCCCAGAGCTCCAGGTACATAGGAACGACATTGGTTCACAGAGTAGATGTGTAAGCTCGACTGAATGCCACGTTGTCAAACAAGCCTATGCCTGTTCAGCCCATGAGGTCCAGGAAATCATATTGTACTGTAAATCATCAGCCGATGACCAAAGGTGCGGTTTTGCTCAGTGTATTGTGCTAGTGCTCTCATTTTCTTATTGCAGTTATGATCAACTTACTATTATTATCTTTTTTTTTAGTAATAAGAAATGAAGCTGTTTTGAATTCACATTCCCAGTGGTGCTTGCACTGAAGTTGTGTGTGTGCCCGCACTGTGCATACTTGCGTGTAGGCTAGGACGATGGCAGCTATTTATTTCAAGTCAGAGGTTTTCTAATGTGTTTGGATGGCTCAAGTCCTTAAAAATCTGTTTATGAGAATTCTTGAGGCAGCTTGAGTCGTTAATAAGTAAGATATTTTTCCATCATATTATTACAACCTTTCCATACGTCGCTCTCTCCAGTATGGATTTTTACCTTCTTCCCTGGAACATTTCTTTGAGCTCATTCCCTGTTCCCGTTCAGTTCTTGTGTAGACGTGAGGCGTGAGGGGCGCTGAAAAGCAGAAAGAGTTGAAGTAGAAATTCCGCACCCAGGATTCTCACCCTTTGTTCCAGTGCCTTTTCTATGTATTTCGTTATTTTTACACAATAATGCACCGATACAGTATTTCAGAGTATTTTATGTGCCTTCCTCTTCAAAGGTCGTTTTCAAGCGAAAGTTATCTTGAAAATGATCCCTAAGACCAAGACAGCTTTTTGCAAGATAGTTACACTTTTTAGTTAGGATCTGGCAGGGCTGATGTCAACTTGGAAATGAGGAGAAGGAAGGCTGAGGGGCAGATGGCTGTCCCTCAGAGTCCGCGGTCTTCTCTGTTCCCTGAGAGGGCCTTGGCACGGGGATCATTGACAGCTAAAACCAACGGCTCCTTCTAGAAGCAGTGAAAAGAATCCATTAGTGTAAATCCGAAGCTGCTCAGGTTTAGAAAATTAGTATCTTGATTTTCTTCCCAGGGAGTGACTCTTACTACAGTGATAACCAGATTTTTCTGGTGTCAGATTATTTAATTGTTGATTTCACAAAAGAGTTGGGCAGCTTTGCCACTAGGGCCCCCCCCCCCCCCCCCCCGCGCCATCTCCCCAGCCCCAGTTGAAAAAACAAACAGACCCACAAAACAACGAATATTTGAAGTAGAAGTTCCGCACCCAGTAAATTGAATCAGTAAGTTACCGTGATAGGTTTGAGATTTGACTTGGAGTCTTCTGGCAACCAGTCACCTGCCAAATAGGACAACTTGGGCCAGTTCCGTAGTTTTCATTAGTAGAATGTATACACATTCCTTAAGAAAAAGCTATTCTACCTAACTCTTAAGTTTTGAGTGACATATCTGATGAAGTACTTAACATAGGGCATTGATTGATTAAGAATTTTGTGTGTGTGATGATGGTAATGAATCTTAAAGTCGTGACACCATGCAGTAATTGTTAATGTTTGTCAAAAACGTTTTATTCGAAATGTAGTTAATTGTCTTAGAATTCTATTGCTTGGTTCTAGGAAATCTTGAACTGTACGATGCAGTATTCATTTAATAATGGCTAGATGGCAGTGTAAGAACTGCCACATCAAGTAACTGTAGATATTAATAAATGTGATAAGTTAAATTTTGAATTATTAAGGAAACTGGTATCTTGGAGAAAGATGACTGTCAGGGATGGTCAGTATCAACGTGTAAACAAAGTTTAATCATGCAGTGATGCGTGATTCCCCCCCCTCTCCAGCCCCGGGAACTTTAAAGGGATTTGATAAGTTTGACCTGCTTAATCTTTATAAAATGGTATTTCTAGTAAGATGAAGAATACTTAACATTTATTTCAAGTTTCAGCCAAAGAACCCAATATACTTAGATGTAAGGATAACAAATTAGACACATAAACTTTGCTCTTAAAATGAAGTAGAAGACACACTAAGTGTGTACACGATTGGGATATACCTGTTCTTTCAGAAGCACATTTTGGCGAACTTTTAAAATAGAAAATGTCATGAATTTTTGAAAATACAGGCATTGCTGATAGTGTTAGATGCTCCTGTATTTCAGATACAGCATAATCAGTTGAAAATTTGCAATTAGCAATGAGTCTGCCTAACACTTGATTTTCATTTAGCTATAGTGGGAGCAAAATTTATTTCCTGAGACTTTTGTTTTCTGTCTTCTTTTTAATCTTCCATTTTACCCCTTGTTCTTTAGATAATAGCTAAATATTGAGTCTTCTGTTGTACCCTTACTGAGATTTTATGTCAGGGCAGGACTACTTAGTATATTTGTCTTTTTGTACTTCCTGTTGACATTGCATAAGGCATTGTACTTAACTGCTTCCTAATAGAAACTTTTGGGAAAATGCAATAATTTTTAAAAAATCAAGATATTAAAATCTCAAGCACATGTATCTCTGACCTACACATTTTTTTTAAAAAGAGATCGATTCTTTGCATTTGTACAGCAAAATCTAAGCTTTCATTGATTTGTTACATTGAGATTCTTTCCTTAAGGCATATTTTCTTGACTATATTCTTCGGGTTTATTTCCATTATAGATTGATATGATATGTTTAACAATGCTTCTAACTTTTAAGTTGTTTTGTTTCCTTAGTCTTTTGTATTGCTCGTGACTTTAAGGTTTTACAGTTGGAAATAGTTTTTAACATCATAAAACACTGGTGATATATCATTTCTTCATTACCTTCCCAAATATGCCTTTAATTTTTATGTACAAGGGCTCTTGGGAATGATTCTCTCAGAGGCGTAAGCTCTGCTTTGCCTTCCATGAGAACTGAAATTATTTGTAAGCGTTTGCTTTCTTTTTTAGCTTCTAATTTTTCCCTATTTTATTTTGTACATGATATTTGTTTCAAGGTCAAAGGTTCCGTTACAGTTACTATGATGAATCCCAGGGGGAGATATATAGATCGATTGAACATCTAGATAAAATGGTAAGTCCTTCAGGTGTGGGATTTTAATGCTGTAAGGTTTTTTCTTTCATTTCAGATTAGTGGTTTGGAACTTTTAATCTGTTGACATAAACAATGGACTAATAATTCTTTCCCTGCCTTATAATGTACAGAATATAGTCGGTAAAGATGTGAATGTTTAGTATAAGTCTAACCTGTACGATTAGCAGAAATTTCCTTCACCTTAATTTAGATTCATTAGGCTGAATAATTAGATACGGATTTCGAATGCTTCTTTTGTGGGGGCTCTACTTCCAGGACACACATCACACTTAGGCTGTGCTGCTTGTGAAGCAGAAACGGTGAAGCAAATCTTAGTTGATTATTTAATTCGGTTTTCAGCCATTTGGGTTTTTCTTCAGGGGAAGTTCAGTTTGGTTGGAAATACAGAATTGAAGAAAAGGGGTTGTGTTCTCACTTAGCCCAGGAGCCGGTCCAGCTGACCGAGCTGTCTCTCTTTGGAGCGGTGTGTAGGCGCGGAACTGGCTTTTGATTTTTGAAGACGCATGGGAGGTTTTTGTCATCGCTAAGGAATAGGATATCTGGGAGCAGGTAGAGCTGTTTTGGAGACCCTGTGGACACAGGGTTCCCCTTCAGGGGTGCCTAACAGCAGGGGGAGAGCTCCCAGATGCAGGGGAGAAAGGGTGATGGGGAGTACCTGAGATGCAGGGGGGAGGAGCAGGAGGATGCAGGGGAAAGGGTCAGGATGGGAGAGCCCGAGATGCAGGGGGGAAGGGATGATGGGAAGAGCCCGAGATGCAGGAGAGAGGGTCAGGAGGGGGGAGGACCCGAGATGCAGGGGAGAGGGCAGGATGGCAGAGCCCGAGATGCAGGGGAGAGGGTCAGGATGGCAGAGCCCGAGATGCAGGGGAGAGGGTCAGGATGGGAGAGCCCAAGATGCACTCGCTGTCTCACCTCAGGGCTTTGCTTAGCCCTCACCTTCCCAGTGATGCCCACGGACCCCTTTCTAATTTCACACCCCGCGTCTTGCCCTTTTAATGCCCAATCCACCTTGCCCTGTTCTACTTGTCTTTTGGCAAAATAACTAAGTTACCTTAGGAATGCAGTTTTGTTAGTTTTGGTATTTTTGTTTTGTTCAAAATAAGAGTCAAAATACTTAGTACGGAAGTTAGGACATAAGTAAATGCTCAATAAATGTTTCTCAAATAAATGGTCTTCTCTATGGTCTTTTTAGATAATCAAATGAATACCCTAACGTGAAAAAGAAATAAATGGCATTTGATATGGTCAGCTTTATTATTAATCTAATTGATAATATAAGTATCTGTTGGCAGACACATGCAGTAGAAGCTTATATGTGGTATCATTGATAGGAGCTACATGTGATGTTTGCTCTTTACTTGGGACTCAGTCCGTTAAGCTGCAAGTGTTGGGTCACTTGATTTTCCAAAATGGTGACTAGTTCTTAAAGTGGCAAACTAAAGTAAGTGCACAAAGACTTAAGTTGTCATTCCTTCACTTTATCTGATAGCTCCTTTCTTGGGCAATCTGTATTGAAATCACGTATAACTTACCTGTATTTGCCCATGAAATGGAGTTAAAGTGTAGATGATGATGATGATGATTTAAAAATTTATTCTTGTCTTTGGGCCACACTTGGGGATGTCCAGGAGTCACTCCTGGCTCTGATCTCAGAAATCAGTCCTGGGGGTGCTTGGGAGACCGTCTAGGCTGCTGCGGACCCAGGTTGGCTGTGTGCAAGGCAAGGGGCCTCCCGGCTGTACTCTCGCTGTGGCCCCGAGTACAGATCATTTGGGCTCCAGCTTCACGGAGATACGAAGACCAGTCCTGGTGTGAGACTGCCCTGTGCTGTGTCAGCTTCCCGGGACTGCAGCCACTGCATCTCTGAATCCCGTGGACAGCCCCTCCAAAAGTAGGCTCTGGTTCCCAGAATGTCCCTTCTTCTCCCCCTTACCCCTCCCTGTCTACTCCTCCACAGTGGGATTTGGCTCCTTGTCCATTTCCAGTCACTTGTCAGCGGTTTTTCTCTCTTTCTCTCCCTATAGTGGGTCAGTGGATGCATGGATAGGGACATAGTGAGAAATGAAGTTAGAGAATCCAGGCCCTTGAAAGGATATTAAATAGTAGAATGGTGATAGTTCAGCTGGTGGTAGTGTTTAGCTAGTGGGTTAGAGAGAGGCCGGTGGGGGGGAGGGATGAATAGATTTGTGAGAAATGGTAATGTAGACAGTGGATGGGGTGGTGATGGCGCAGAGGAGTGCATGCAGTATAGTTAGAAGACAAATTGCTGACTTCACTTGGAGGTTGAGCTTGTGGGAAAAGAAATACTGAAGCATGATTTCTGTAAGTCCGTTCCCCCCCCCCCCCCCCACTATACCCAGAGATGCTCAGGGATCACTCCTGCCTCCCCACTCAGGAAATACCCCTGGCAGTGCGCAGGGGACCATATGGGATGCTGGGGATCGAACCCAGGTTGACCATGAACAAGCCAAATGCCCTACCTTCTGTACCATCACTCTGGCCTATAAAGATGATTCCTGAGTGTCTGGCTATGGCTACTTCTCAGGTACCCCTGGACCCAACGGAAGCTAGAAGCAGACTTGAGAGGAATTACAAAGATCATGAATCCTACTAAGGAGAGGTTATATTGGCTTTTTGCTCTGAAGTGTCCAAGGGAAGATGTCAGGCAAATAGGCGTATGAATTTTAAGTGCTTTTGCAGCCCTAGACTCTGGTGGAGATGTGCACTAAGGATCAGACTTGCTCTCATAGAAATCTTAAGTCCAGTTGGAGGGATGCAGTTTTGTTTCTCTTATGCTGATGAGGGGGAGGCATTTCTTCCCTCGAAGAGGTAAGTATGTGTGTATGCATATACATGTAGATATATATGTAGACATACATATATATGTTTTAAATAGTCATGTATATATGCTATACAGAGAACATTTAAAAGGGTTATGAAGTAAAAATATTCGAGATTGTTTTAGTCTCTTAGTCTGATTGGGGACGTGTAAGGGAGGGACATGCTATAAATGTGTTGATGATAAAAAGATCTTAGTGAGAAGACATTATAAGGCAGAAAACACTGTCCGTGCAAATGACGGGAAAGAGGCTGGTATGTTAGAAGAAAAGAAAAACGGCCAGAGTTGACGGGCATGATGGAGAAGGGTAAGAGGTGGGCAGGAATCGGATCCTGTAGGGCTTTGTAATTTAGGGGGAGAAATTTATGTTAGTACAGTTGGAAATGGTGGGGTTACACATATTTTTAAGGTCTTGCTGGCAAGTTGGATAGAGGATAGATTGGAGGAATAAGAACTGGGCGTGGGCAGTTATTTGTGGGAGAGATGACACAGGAACTTGGACTGAGATTGGGATTAGTGGAGATTGGATGAGCTGCGTAGAGGAGAGATTTGGGTTGGAGTCAGTCAGGTCCTTTTCGTCATGGAGATGGTCGGTGAAGGTGGGTGTCGGTGAGTGTTGGCTGCAGTCATCCTCAGCCCTGTCTTCACACCCAAAATCCACTTGTGCAGTTTTTTCCAAAATAGACAAAATAGACTGTCCCTACTTGTGCCTGGGGTCAGCCACGTTTAGTGATTCCTGAACACGAGCCTTGTAGGCGAATATGAACTATTCTACTAAGGTCTCTTACCCACTGAAATCTGACAGAATTTCTTACTCTCCTTTTCTCCCCGTGTCTGCCTTTTTCTTTCCATTGTTCTGATTTATTTTGGTTTTGGACCATACCCACTGGTGCTTGGGTGGTGCAACTCCCAGATCCGAGATCCAGGGCTGTGTGGTGCCCGGCACGAATCTGGGACATACTGCACTGCATGCGAAGCGGGAATTAGAAATTGATTCGAAATTGATCAGTTGGTGCTTAGAGCGCCAGGGAGATGTTTGCTTTACAACACCTGTTCTCTGGTGCTCTTCATTTCAGAGCCTCCTTTGCACGATCACGGTGAAATACTTTTATATTCTTTGTTTTTCTGTGTTTTATTATAAACATCCACACTTACCAGTTCTTTTAGCCTTTTACCTCTGTTGATAGTCAGTTTCTATCTGGAGGACTGTGATCGTGTAGATAGACGTTGGTTTCTTACTTTGAGACAGAGCAGAAAAACATGATTAGCAAGATTTGGGGCTGGGGTGTTTGAATCACACTCGGTGTTCAGGGGTGATTCCTGACTGTGCTCAGGAGTGACCCCTGGTGTTCTTGGTTTCATATGTGGTGTCAGGGATAGAACCAATAGCATGGTTCTTGTAACTTCTGATACTGCTATGTGCTTTTTTCTGCTCTAGGTTCAAAAAGTGTAAGTAGAAGTAGTAAACTAGTAAGTAAGCTTTAGGCTGACTACTAACTGTGCATCTGACTTACCTTACTTTAGATGTCCAACTTCAACTAAACCATACATTAAAAAGTCCTATGTTTTTATGCTTGAAATACAATTTCTGAGTAAATATTGAGTGTTTGCTTCATGTTGTATTATACTTGGATTTGGGTATAATTACCGTAAATGAAAACATTTCTATAATATGAACATTTTAGATTGCTTAAAAGTACTGTATTTTTTATTAGCATGTTAATTCAAGTTCTTAGTTAATTCTGGAATAAATGGATTAAAATGGTAGGAACTATTAGCTCTGTATGTATACTCACATATGTAAAAGTAAAGTAAAGTAAAGGCCCTCCCGTTGATCATCGATTTGCTCGAGCGGGCCCAGTAACGTCTCCATTGGAGACTTTGTTGTTACTGTGTCCGGCATATGAATATTTATATAAATATATGTGCGTATATAGTACTTTAGGACAGATTCTTAGAGAACTTGTTTTCTTAATTTATATAATCCAGTGTGAATATCACCCTGTATGTTTCTTTTCTAATAGGGTCATTTTGTGCTACATATTATTTCATTGGAGAACCAGTATCTTAGTTTTCATATGCAGTTTTTTCAGATAAATATAGTTGGTTCTCCATATAAGTATCACAAAAGTGTTAGAAATTCTGAGTTAGAATTATTATTATGCACATTGAAAATTTGATCATGGAAAGAAGTTATTTTTATGTATAAAAATTTGAATATAATATGTTCAAATAAATATGTTAATTAAGTTTTGAATCTTTCTTGTTAGGAAACTGTAATTAAATGTAGTTATTAAGTGCCAGAAAGTTTTTTTAGATTTCCAAAAAAAACAAAAGAAATAGCTATTTTCATTACAAAATGTCTGTATCTCCAATACTTGAATATCTTGATAACTATGTTAATAAGATGTGTAGAAGGAAAATACATAAGAAAATAATTGGATTGTTCAAATATTATAGCTGGGGGAAAATAACTTAGTTACAGAAATATATAGAAATATTGTGAAATCTTACGTTATTATCAGTTACTAACTGATTTTTGGCAATCAGTAGCTTACAATTTTAACAATTGTAGTGACCAAGCTGAATATATTTTAAGACATTGAATTTTGTGGGTTTTTTTTTTTTTTTTTAGTGAATCACCATAAGGTACAGTTACAGGCTTACAAACTTCCGTGCTTGCATTTCAGTCATACAATGATGGAGTCCCCATCCCTCCACCAGTGCCCATTCTCCACCCCTAATGGTCCCAGCATCCCTCTCAACACCCCACCCCGCCCCCTCCACCCTAGCCCGCCTCTGTGGCAAGGCATTTCCTTTTGCCCTCTCTTTTTTGGTGTTGTGGTGTGCAATAATTGTGAAATTTTTTGATCATATATTTGCAACAATCATACACATATATATCTATGTATAAATACAGATATGTTACATGGCCATGCTATTTTTTCCTTTAACAATTATGCTATAGACAAAAATAGGGAGATTAAATATGATTTGGCAGAAAAATTCTGAAATGCCACTGGAGTCATCAATTAATTTTCTTTCCAAATAATAGTCACCTCACATAGTTTGATCTTACACCACTTTTATTGCTTTTTTATACTCCTTTTCGAAAGTGAAATGTTCCTGTTTTTCTACTCATTTCTTTCTTTTGATATTAGGCCCTTGATAGTCTTTATACGCTGTCTATAAAATAGGTATTTACTATTACATTGCTTCTCAGCACTGCTATCTTTGGGTTGACCTTCTCTTCCTTTTTCCAAAGAATCTGTTCATTATTAGATTTTCTCTTAGAGAAACCAAAGTGATTTCTTTCCCCATCTCATCTCCCTTTTCTCCATCATAACTGGATGTTCTTCATCAAATGAGGCCTCGGCCCTAGTGACTTGGCAATATGGTGATCATTCGCCAGTTTCAGACATAAAATAGACAATTCAGGCTCTTACTATTGAAAATTCTCTGAGAAAGTTCTGCTTGCTACTCTTTTGTCCCTTTAGGGCGGTTACTTATTGGTGGAAAGCCTTTGAGTCACCTTAAAACTTAAAATTCCACAGAGGCCAGCTTTCTTGGAAGGGATGTTCTCATTCTGGCCCAGTCTCGGGCCCGTGACTCTGCAGGGCAGGATGGGTATGAAAACTCCTACCCAAAACTGCGAGTCAGCACCCATGTAGTGACCATCATCCTTCAGGGCAGCGAGTGAGCTTGGAGCATCAGGATTTCTTGTTGAGGCTGCTAAATTCCTCGAATGAAGATCGTGGTGGATAGACTTGGTGTTTCAAGTGTCTTTCTGTTTTGTGTCTTTGTGGCTTCAGTGAGCTCAGGCCCACACCAGGGTTCAGTCACATCCCCCAGTGGTTGAAGGAATAGAAAGGTTGAGGAGTAGTACTTGAGAAGCACTTTCTTTTTTGTCTTAAATTTTAGCGCTCTCATGTGTAACTAGAGTTTTGAGGAGATTTTGGTAGGGTTAATCGAAAAAGTGCTTGACATCAAAACAAAAATGCAGGTCGAAGCATCTTTGGCAGTGGTCTGTATGTCAGTGGATGTTTCATCTTGCAGTTTTATAGTCATCGTTGTTGCTGTTTTTGCATACTTCGTGAATTTTTCATCCTATGGAGCAAAGCCTTGCTTTTTCTCACCGTCTCTCTATAAGAAGATAGTTGAGTACCAAATAATCACACCTATCAGAGAGTTGACGGTAATAGTGTTCTTGTCTCAATAGGTACATGACACAATTAAGGGAATTCAGAGTTTCATTCTTTAACTTCCGTCATCTCAGTTTTTAATTTTCTTTGTTGATTTTTAAGCATTCTGTGTTCATTTTGTATGCTTGAGTTGTAACTTTTATATATGTTTCTATAGAAATTCTTAGCCAGTTCTTTGGATTCACTTTGTGTAGGAATATTCATTAGTTTTCTTCTCTCTGACTTCTTCATGTCGGTATATAAATGTGATCAGTTTGCACCAGAGGTGCTTTGAGATTTTAATATTAACACATGCACTGGAACCTCAGGGTCACATCATTTATTCATGAGTGGAATATTATTTAAGGTAAGCTGTCACAGACTTTTTGCAGGAACATTTAAGGTTCTCACAGAGGTGCACTGGCTTGGCTAGGTGAGAGCATTTTAGAGTTGTTAGTGTCTCGTTACATTAGAGAAAGCGGATAGTCAGTCTGAATCCTAGAAAGAACCTAGGATTAGAAGTTGGGAGGCAAGATTTTGACTTGTTTTGAATGTTTCTTTATTCCTAGGGGCATACCTTGATTACCATAATTAGAAAACAGCAGTTCCACGGTCTCTTTTCACTACTTCGTAGGTTAGAAGTACAGTATGTGATTTTATTTGCACCAGAATTATTAATGCTATATTTTGAAGTTTAATTTCGTTCATATTTCTAAGCTTGCATCAAATGTCACTGGAGATAGTAGCTCCCTGATTGTCCAGGGGAGACCAACTAGGTAATCAAAACTAGCTCTGGCTAACTCTGAGAACCAATTGATTATACCAACATCCGCCTTTCTTTTAGATACACTTATGAAATAATGAGAATGTTTATGAAGGACTTGACGGCTCTAAAAAATTATTTATACAATTAAATTTTGATGCTGCCAACTGCAGTGTTTGTATGTCACCTGCTGATTGTTATTGTGAGTGCTCACCTGATTACTCTTGGGACTTTTACACTGTGCTTGTTTTAAAACATACAGTAATATAATAAAATCCTCCTACACATAATATCAGTTAGTTCCCTAGTTAAACTACCATTTATATTTCTCTCAGAGGATATTTATCCAATTTGTTGAACACAAAAGTAATTAACCTGAATAAGAAAACAAGGTAAGGTTATTGGTGAATGAGTTAAAAAATCACAGATTAATCTCCTGATTCAGATGAATTTAAGTTGCTCCATATTAGCATATTATCAACACATTTGGTTGCATTTGGAGAGTGTAGAATTTAGTTGTAAACAAGTGTCCAAATCTTAGTGGTTGTTTTAATAGTAGTTTAAAAAGTTTTGATTCTGAATTAACTTTAAAGATAAGGTATTCAAGCTTAAAGAGATAAAGGCTTTTTAAAATTAAAATCTGTTCATTTAAAAAAAACCTATGTTGTTAAACTTGTTAAATTTTCATGAAGTTTAGTTAAAATATGTTAACTATATTTTCAGTTTGTGAAAGTATCTTTTTAAAAAAATCACTGCATATGTAATTATTGATTATTCAAAATACCTTTCTCACTCTTGGTATTAAATTATATGGAAATAGTTAAAAGTACTGTCAGCTCTAGAAGGATTGAGGAAAGCCACTATGTCTTGTTAATTTAATTTTAGATTTTGTAAGTTAAAAAAATCTCAGTATGAATAAATTTACCTTTGTAAATATAACTAAATTAGAAAAATACAGAATCATGAAACAAGCTGAATGATAGCTGGTGAAGGTGGCCTAGAAACATCTGGAGGTCAGTGAAAACTATCCTGGGGATTAACAGTTTTCTGTAGTAAAAATGTCTTAGTGACAGTTGACAGTAGTGAGATTGCCTGTGATAAATTTGATACTTTGCAGTACATTTTCTTCCTAATTGAGCAATTAGCATGTTTAGTAAGTAGTGTTTTAGTACAATTAAGTAACAGTTTTAAAATATAATGAGGAAATAATAAGTAATGAGAAAATATAAATACATAACAAGGAAATAATAAATTGTGTTCTTTTTTTCTTTCAATTTTTCCCCTTTTTCTAGGGTATGAGTATTATAGAACAATTAGACCCTGTATCTTTTAGCAATTACTTGAAGAAATACCATAATACTATATGTGGAAGACATCCCATTGGGGTGTTATTAAATGTGAGTATCCTTAGGAAATTTTAATTTTAAATATTTGGTCTTGTTGGTGATTCTCTAGTATCATTAGCTTTAGGTGTGTGTTGTCATTTCTAGTACCATTAAGATGAAAATTTCAGCTTCTATTGCTTTGATTACTTGAGTAAATAATTTTTTAGTAGAGATAAATTACCAATAGTAAGCATTTCAATAAACTAAATATGCTAATCAAATTATTTACCACTAGTTATTTTTCAGTAATGTTCTTACCAATACTTCTTTAAATACAGAAAATCATTTAGGATAGACAGCTGGTTCTTTTCCTGCTGACTCTTGGCCAGTGCTGATATGGTCTTTACTAGCATAACCAAAGTAATCTTTAAGATGTGTTGTCTTATTACCTTTTGATTTTATTAATGTTCTAGGCACTTAAAAATAAATAGAAGATTCTGCACTTGAAGTTTTGCGATTTATATCTTTAATATATAGCAGGATAGAACATGTATGTTTCTCTTTATATCAATAGTATTTCATTTTAAGGATGGAAAGAGACAGATGACAGATCTCTGCGTTATTTACCTCTTGGTGTTTTGTTTTTTTTTTTTTTATTTTTGGGCCCACACACCCAGTGCTGCTCAGGGGTTACTCCTGGCTCTATACTAAGGAATCTCCTCTGATGTTACTTGGGGGACCATGTGGGATGCCAGGAATTGAACCCGGATCAGCTGCATGCAAGGCAAATGCCTTAACCACCTGTATTATCTCTCCACCCCATTCTTTGAAGTTTTCAAAGAGATGGGTCAAGCATTACTTTTCCTCTAATAAAATATTCTAACAAGAAGTATAAAATGAGACTTAAGAAATAAAAAAAGTATATGCCCAGGATTGGGAGGAATAACAGTAGACTTATTGCTTGGGAGAAGGTTGTGTGTCTGGAATAGTTTCAGTAGGAACTTGCAAGTCATTGTTACTTCAGAGTCATCTGAAAGGTAGTGACCTTTCAAGGGAGTTTTTTTTCTGTTAAGAGGGGTTTTTTTCTGTTAGGCAGAATTGATTGGCTGGAAGAAATCTTACTCAGGGCTTGAACTAATTCATGAAACTTAAACTAGTATAAGCGGTGCTTGTTTCCTACAGTCTGAATCGGATACTACTGTAATGAGTGCCCTTTAACTTATATGCATTATAACTAGAATCACTGTTACGACAAAGTAAAGGCATCACCGTTTCAGAGACAGAAGAAATGGCCAAGATTTGGTTTCCAGAAGTAGCCTCCTTTGAAATGCAGGGGAAGGTTGAGCGGAAGATAACTGATAGTGGTCCGGATGCTAGCATAGGAGAAGAGCCTGGAAACAAGGAACCCAGGAATTCTCTCCTTTTCCTATTTCACACGTGGGGAAAAGAAGAGCAAAAAAAGAACAGCGAGTTCAGAGGGATCTGGGTTTCAGCAGTGAAGTCAATGGTTGCATGCTCGTTTTCCTTTGAGATTTCTTTGATAATCATTTCCCCTTGTTTCTTCCCCTAGGCTATCACAGAGCTGCAGAAGAATGGAATGAATATGAGCTTTTCCTTTTTGAATTATGCCCAGTCAAGCCAGTGTAGAAACTGGCAAGATAGCTCAGTGAGTTACGCAGCCGGAGCTCTCACAGTTCACTGAAGCTGAGTCCTCAGGGATGCCACCCGCACCACAGCTCATTCTCTGTCCGGGTCCCAGCCCAGCCCTCACCAAGATCCTCGTCCTGGTTTGGGGGGTGGGGGTTCTGAAACCTCAAACTAATAGAACTTTCTTCTCTTCTTTTCTAGTAGGTGTAGTCCTTCCTTAATTTCAACTCATTTGAAATGCTTTCTAGTTTAGGGCCGCGGAAGGAAGGCTGGCATCAAAATATTTTGATCGAAAAAGATGACAATGATGAAGCCCCGTTGTGGCAGACATGTTTTTTTAGAAAGTAACTTGTAAAGCATTTACCATATTCTAAATTTGCACTCTTTGCAGACTTGTGCACATATATCCCGCTTACAGAATAGTTTTGCAAATTGTACACAAACAAACAAAGGGTGGAAGCTTTTTAATAAAATGCATTTATAAATGATCTGTATTAGAATATAATAAATCTCCAGTTATAGTCAATTACTACCCATGTTGTACAACAGATACCTTCTATTTTAGTTGCTAATAAAGGGCTACACAACTCAAAAATAGTCTGATTTAAACTTATTGCTCTGTGGTACATATGAAAATTGTTTTTTTTTTTATGAATTCCATCTTAAATTTTTTTTATTTTAAAACTGGTAAACTTCAGCTCTTCTGTAAAAATGTTAGGATGTATTTTATATTCTACATATTTATGTGATATTTTTATCACAAAATAGAATCATATTCTAAACTTAGCTCTTAAAATTACATTGCCTTTTTGTGTGTGACATCATTTTGTGTCATGACTGTATTGTAATAGAATATAAATTGAAGATTGGTAACAGAATGTAGATAAGTCCTTTCCGCCCGAGATTATCCCCGACAGGCAGTAGTCTGCAAATGAGGAGACTTGGAAGGATGTTCTAAAGTGCTTTTCAAATCATTGCAGACCATACACTGCTGCTCTACGCAAATTGAATCTCTTACTTGAATTTTTAGCAAGAAATCATTAACAAGAACAACAGAAAAACCCACTGGGTTTTCTTACTAGTTCGACAGTGTTGTTGTTTTTTTTTTGTCATGATTTTTGGTGCGGCTCTTCCAACTAAAATAATGGTATGGTGTTGTATTTATTTAGCATAGGCCAGTTCTAGTCACTTTGGCAAAAAAAATGTGATCCACATAGTTAGTTACCGACCAACATGCATGTACTAGGTTTACCTGTTTTAATCGAATACTGGGTATCTACATTACATTGGAGAGTGTTTATATCTTCAGTGTTATGCCAGAACAGCACAATTTTTAGATGCCTTGCACCAATTTTATTTAAAGATTTACTTTTCTTACTTATTAAATGTCAACTTTCTATAATCAACAATTGAGTATTTCTAAAATACGGTTATCTTTTGGATTCAAAATAAGCACCTCGATGTGTGTGGAAATTATTCTTTTACATACCAGTGATTTATTTCCCATCATTTAGATAATACTTTTGAGTATAATGAATATTTATTTTTTATTTATTATCTAGATTAAAAATTTCAAAATTGACAGTGAATTTTTAATGTTTTCTGATATGAATTCTTAATATAATTATTATAGAAAATTAAGAAAATATTGAAAATATAAAGAAAATATCTGTAATTTCACTATGCAGAGAGAACACTGTTAATATTTTTCATATTTCCTTTCAGTCTTTGTCTATGTTATTTTTATGTATGAATGTGTTATGTTTGTGCGTGTGTGCATAATAGCGAACTTGAGACTATTGACTATATATAGTTGTATACCCCCCTACTTTCTAGTACTTAACATCATAAACCTGTGTCTCTGAAAATGTAATCTTTTTTTTAAAAAAAAAAGCTGCCTAACACTCTGTTGTATGACTATATCATAATTTAACCAGTTTCTCTTTGGATATTAGTTTCTAATAATTCAAAGTTATGAATAATAGTGGGATGACATCTTTGTATATGAAATTTGAACTCTATTCAGCTAGTACTTTAAGATATATTTATGGAAGTGGGATAATTGATTTAGTTAGAACTTTGTAGAGTCTTGCCAAATTACCCTTCAGAGAGATTGTGCCAGATTAACTGTGTATGAATACGTATCACATACCCCTTCTTCACTATTACTATTTTTTCTAATCTTTGACAGTTTGTTAAGCAGATAATTGGTTGTTCTCTTGATCATTCTAATAGTGAATTTTTTCTGTAATTTTATAGTTAATTAATAAAAAATGCAGGGGGTTATTTAGGGTAAGTGGGCCATGTCCTATGAAATTGCTTGCTGTATATTGAAAATATTTTAGCAACACTCCATCCTTTTTTTTTAAAAAAAATGGAATATGAGAATTATCTTTTGTAGTCACAAGTCACATTCCAAACTTATAGTTTAGTGTGAATTCGTATTTTGTCTCTGCTGCTGATGAATCCTCTGACCATAAATAATTCATGATGAATCTAAACTTTTCTCATCTGTGACATATGGAAAGGAACTCCTAAGTACCTTTACGTTTCAGAGTACTTTAATGTGACTTTCGAGATTTTTATGTTACATAGGTTACAAAGCTATATGGTTGAATTAGATTCAAAGTGTTATTTTTTTAATTTTAACTGTTAACTATGAAAGTCTTGAACACAAAAGAAATCAACTTGCATTATCTAATGCAGCTAACGTCTAATTTGTTGAAATTCAGTGTTCCTACTTCAAGTGCCTTTAAAAGAATTTCATATTTGAAATCTAAAAGGTAAAGAACGTTATTCTGTAGTTCTATATGTCGTCAAGTTTTAATACCCTTTGAAGTTACCTGGAGCAGCTTTTTAATTTTAATTGTTTTGTTTTGTTTTTTGAGCTGCACTTGGAAATAATGCTCAGGGGTTGCCCCTGGCTCCGTGCTCGGGAATTACTCCTGGCGGTGCTTGGGGGGGCCGCATGGGAGGCCGGGGATGGAACTAAGGTCGGCTGCACGCAAGGCGAGCGCCTCGCCCACTCACTGTACGATCTCTGGCCCCAGGAGCAGCATTTTTCAGACCTTAGGTTCTGTGGAATAGCATGCTGTTGGATTCTTCACTGTTCGCTCACTAGTCTTTGAGAAATGTCTGTTAAGGGTTAGCTCTTGAGGCAGGTAAGTACATGCTCTGTTGTGGCTAGACAGCCAATCTCCGTACAGAATAGGATTAAAGGACTCTGCATCTGTCAGAGCTTATATTTATTTTTTAAAAATTATAAAGAAAAACCTGAATCCTCGTGAGATTCACAGTCACAGAGCTGTTAATGATTGAGTTTCAGTCATACAGTGTTCCGACATCCATTCCTTCACCAGTGTACATTTTCTGCCAGTGTCCCCAATTTCCCTCCAGCCCGCTCTCCCATCCCCCCCACAGCCTTCCTCTATGGCAGACTCTGGAGGCAAAGAATTCATGACTTTTGAATGGCAACTGGGAAATATTTGTGTAAAGGAGCATTTCTGAATGCCACATGGCCCCTCTGGGACCCCAGAATATTAGAAGGGGGCCACAGGTAAAAAATGCATATATGGCAGGGGACGCGGGGCTGGGCACAAGACTAGAGGGACCATCTGCCCAGTAGAAAGGTTGTGTGTGTGTGTGGGGGGTAATTGAAAGAAGATACAGTCTGAAGGAGCCTCGTTGGGATGAAGTTGAGATGCCCTGGTCAGGGCCAGGGTTTCACAGGCTCTGGGTCAGGCCCGGTTGTTGACTTCCCTGGTAGCAGAACAGCATCTCAGAGCGTGTGTGTCTGAGTCTCATGCAAATTCTGATACGCAGAACCGGGTTGTGCTGAATTTCTGGTCCCCGTCCTGGTGGGTGCTGTCTGAACTCTGCTAGTTCACAGTGCTGCCTTCGAGGTTATGTGCCACAAATGACCGTAAGTTTTTCTGGTCCCAGCTCTCTCCACTGTGATGGGCTCCAGCTGTGTTTGGGTGCTGGTTAGGACTGTCAAGGCAAGTAGGGCAACCAGGGACGCTAGGAACCCATGGAGGCTCCTGAATCAATCAAGACTGTGATGAGTGAAGATTGTGAGTGGCTCGGTTCTATGTGATTGTCAGATTATACTTCTAAGTATTTGGCTCCCTAGTTGGAAGTATAGGATGGGTCAGATGAACCAGACCAGTAAATGAACAGAGACTATGAGACTTTTTGTGACATAAGGACTTCTGGAACTGTAACATCCATTTCCATCACTGTTGCTTTATTTTGCAAATAGCCCTCCTCGCTCTCTCCCTCTTCTGCCTTCCCTGTCCCCTTTTCAGGAACTCAGATAAAAGAGACTTAGCTTGGATACCTACATTGAAGGGTCCTTGTTATAGCAGCTTTCACTGCAGCTCACTGAAACTTGACAAAGGAAGAGAGAAGTAGACTGTGCTGGGAAGCGCTGTAGCATGTTGGTAGCAGAATTACGATTGAGGGATGGTCTGAGTCACAGACACTCAGATTCAGAGCTAGATGCTGTATCGCTGGGCATTTGGAACCTGCCCATAGAGAGACCGTCGTGTGCTGGAGGGCACACGTGCTGAGTCCTCAGGTGGACGGTTGGGTGAGATTTCATTTTAGGAGAAGGAGTTTTCATCAGATACTTGAGTGACTGTCGCCTGCAAGAGGGGTGTGTGTGTGTGTGTGTGTGTGTGTGTGTGTGTGTGTGTGTGTTCCATCACACAGGCCAGGCCTGCTCTCTGTCCTCTGAAGGAGGAATAGAATTATCCTGTGAGGTAGGCTAATTGGGAATCTGAAATAGATGTTCATAATTCCTTGTTCAATATTCATATGCACATTTCTAATTGGAAACCAACTGCTTGTTCTGAAATGACTTGATGTTTTCATACATAATCTAAACCAGTGTAGGGTTCCGGGCTGTCAGCATTAGCTTTCCTGCCATGTTATTTGTGGACATAGAAAATCAGTGGAGAAAAGCTTAAAAACAAAGTGAGACCAAACCAAACCAAACCAAACCAAACCAAAAACCTATTGGAATCAATTCAAATAAGTTGGAACATACTTTGATGTAAAACTTTTAAAAATAAAACTTGCTTTTTGCTCTCAACATTAACTTTCAAAACTTGATTGTGAGATGGTGTTACGTGTTACTGGTAGAGCACTGGGCTCAGAAAATCATCGAGACGCTTTAATTTGCTTCTTGCTAAAATGTTTTAATGTAAGATGAAAGTCTACCATCCACTAAAATAAATCTAAGTGGGTCTTAAATTTAGGCTTTCTTAAGTAGAGGTGCTTTTTGAATCTCAAACAAAGCCATATCAATAGCCGAAGAGGGCCTGGTTATTGCTTATTGATGCTGATACTGATGTAACAACAGGAGCAGCTGGCAGGTGGTGCTTCCTGCCCACGAACTCTTCTCCCCTACATATAAGACCCAGTGGCTGTGCACTTAGTGACAATGCCCTTGAGAACACGGTACCTGGGACCTCTGCAGCTTTTAGGCACATTGTGGATGGATTTGGTTTGCCTGTCGTGTTGTATTTCGCAATGTCAGGGTCTGTGTGAAGCATTTTAGAGTTTTACAATCTGTCACTTGGTTCAGTTCTGCGAGTGGTTGTAGCCAGGCTGTGTCACCTTCTGCGTGTGCCATTCTAATGCCGTGTTTTGGCCATCTTCTGAAAACTTTGGAAAGAGTCTCACAAAGGTAGTTGTGGTTTTGAAAGCCATAATAAAGTAAATTGGTTTTGTTTTTCATGATAACTGAGTTATGCTCAGATGCATATTTTATACTGTAAGATGAGGTTTATATCTTTACTAGTAGAGCCATATTTCTTCCCATCATCTTAATAATGAAACCAAAGATAAATAATAACCTAATACTAAATACTGTTACTGAGAAGATATTGAAGAACAGTGTATTTGGGCCACGACAAGAACTTGAATTCTGGTCTCTAAATCTGCCAGTATAAATTTTTGGAGAGTAGGTTTTTTTTAAACTGCTTTCATCCCTGATACTTACTGAATATGGTGTTATATACATTTGATTAGAAGCTATTAAAACAATGTGAAAACA